GCCTGCTTTCTTATGCAACACTAGCCCACCTGCCCAGGGGTGGCACCACCCACAGTGGGCTGAGCCCTCCCACATCACTCATCAAGAAGATGCCCCTCAGACATGGCCACAGGCTGGTCCAAAAGAGGAAATTCCCCAATTGAGGCTCCCTCAACCCAGATGTGTCAAGTTGACACTAAAACATATCCAGCATATACACCAAGAATGTGAACAGAAATAAAGATGACAGGAATCAATACACACCTTTCATTAATAAGTTTAAATATCAATGGACTGAACTCCCCAGTCAAAAGATAGCCTAGTTGAATGGATTGAGAAACAAAACCCATCTTTTTGTCTGCAAGAAACTCATCTCACTTTCTTTTTTAAATAAATAATTTATTGAGAAATTCATACGTGAATATAAGGTGTTTTGATCAAACCTATGCCCACTCCCTCCCCTCAAATCCTCCCATATCTCCCCATCACTCTTTTCTGATAATCTCATCTTTGATGTACTCTTTCTTCTTCTTTGATTTATTTTTTAAAAGGGCTTTAGCTACTCCAACATACCCCCTCTGAACAGGTAACCCTAAAATCTTTTAAGGATTAGATAAAAGCTCCCGTATATTTTTGACGTTTTTGGCTTTTGGAACAGAGTATGTTGCTAAGTGGCCCAAGGACACTATGAGTTTTAGCCAATAAACTGGCTACTTTTCTTTGGGGTCTTTTTATCCTAACTGCCTAGCCAATTCCTACCTCCTATTCTTATCACACCATACTCTGCAGAGTTTACCTAAATTGCCAATAGGGAATTGGGACACAAACTGCTCTGGCTTCTTCCCTGCTGAACAGGGAAGCCGGGTGAGGTAATTGGAGTACCCCTTCGGTGGGTCTATCTAAAAGAGTCCCAAATTGTATAACTCTTATCTCTAAGGGAAAAGAAAGTCCTTGAATCCTGAGAAGGAGATGTGAAGGAGAAGTAAAGGCAAGAGCAATTAGCATTACAAATTCTAGACAGGGAAATAGAAAAAAGTTGAAAAGGGCAATTTTTCAAATGTTCATATGAGAGTCCATTGGAATTTCTTGACAAGGGCTTCCAAAAGCATCCCTCTTTTGGATTCTTCCTCATTTTTCTTTTGTCTGCTAAGGCTATACTCTAGAGTGATGGATTCAGGATTTGCTTTCAGGTATTTTAATAGCTGTTGGAGTGGTTAGAATCAGTTTCAGTTCCCTCTCAAAGGCTTCTAGATAGGGAGAGAAAACAAATTTATCCATCATTTTAGAACAATAGCTTGTCTCTCTTAGGTACAGGTAGGCACTACAGTATTAGAAACCAAGATTTGAAGCCTTACATCTAAGCAGAACTTTCTGGTTAGGAATAAATTCATCAATGAGAAATAATTATCTAAATAACTTTTTATATGGATTTAAGCCTAATGTATGTGAAGTATAA